CTCAATAATGAGTGGACGGACGAATGAACTCAAGCTGCATCCTGACAAGATGGAGGTTTTGTGCATAGATGGCAGTAATATCTGGGAAGTGGGTGTTCAACCAGTTCTGGATGGGACTACACTCACTCTGAAGGAGCAAGAACACAGCATGGGAGTGTGCTTTGATCCAGGAGTGACACTAAAGACCTAAGTGTGTCCTCTGTGGCTAATAGCACCTTTTGCCAGCTTTAGCTAGCCCATAAATTGTGGCTTTTCCTGGATGGGAATAATCTGACCACAGTGATTAATGCCATTCTCTGGCAACTTCTAGATTCAATTACTGTGTTGCATTTTATGTGCAACTACTTTATTTTTTTATTATGTGCAACTATTGTATTGCAACATGTGCAACTATGTGCAAAACTATTCAGGAGCTTCAACTGGCACAGGATTCAGCTGCTAGAATTCTGGATGTCTTGTTAAGAGAAATGCACAGTGCGCTTATAAAGAGAGGACTACTGGGACTGGGCCTTCTTCTTCCAAAGTATGGCAATGCAAGGCAAAAATTTCAGACTCTGAATCTGACCTAGAGAAAGAGGCAGGGTCAGAAGGTGAAGCAGAAGTTGCAAGATAAACCAAACCACTGGTCTGGGGAGATACCCTGAAGAAGGGGGTGGTCAGAGGAGGAAGGTGGTGCACCTATCAGCCCAGTGGCTTGTCAGCAAGTCAGACCAGCAGACCAGTTAAGTCACGTTTGGTGATCCTGCTATTCAGCCCACAAGCAGCACAAACCTTCCTGGGGGTGAAAACAGCTTTGCTTGGAGAGGAATTCAGCTGGGAGGGGAAGGGGCACCACCAAGTTGAGAAATTATTAACTTACAAATACTTTTATATTACTCACTCCGTATTGCAAAGCCCAACCCTACTAGCCATCCTAACGCAATAACAGACTGTATCTAGAAACTTTTTGCCATGATTCCCTGGAAAGGGAAAGAGCAAGGAATGTGGATCTTCTCTAAAATTGAGTTCTAATTCTGGAATGCTGTACAAAAGAAAATATGACTGGTCCCAACTCTATCTTCTTCTCAGCACTAGGTCAAGACATTCCTGCATGCCCAGGTATGTTAAATTAATTGTATTATTCCCTGGGATAGCAATGCCTCTCAATAGCATCTGTCTAGGTACAGATTTAGACTGAATCAAGAAGGGAACACCCCCCATCTCTTTCCCATAACAATCCCTTAATATACTAGAGTGGGGAAACATCCAGAGTCTGAAGATTCTTGACTTAAACACACAGACTTAAGCATTCCAAGTCTAAGTTATTTCATTTAGCTAAGGCTGCAGCCCTTTACAAATATCTTTTCCAAAAACTGCACTTCTGAGCTTTAGATATATATATATATATATATACACACACACACACACACACACACACACACACACACACACTAGGAAAGAAAGGGTATTATCCTCCAGTGCTCGTCAGTCAAAAGAATGTTCTAGCACACAAAATGTCAAGAGGCCTTAGGAAATAACAGTTACCACATTATTAGGTTGACAGTTCTTTAAGTATATATAGTAAGCTCACAGTGCTATGCAAACAACTCTGAAAACTCTTAAGTAAACACCTCAGCACACTGTTCACAATTCTCTCCCTCTTCTCATAAGCAAGAGCAGAACAACCCTACAGATGTCTAACATTCATCAGAGAGGTTTGCTTCTCACTCTCATGACTGTAATGAAACTAAATTGCTAAAATTTGCCACAAAAAGCTTGCAGGAAGTTAGGCCAGTTTATTTTATTTATTTATTATTTATTAAAACATTTTTATGCCGCCCCATTCGCCGAAGCCTCGGGGCAGCTCACATCAATAAATTAAAATAATTATAATATAAATTAAAATATAAATATAAAATTAAAATACAACAGTACAGTATAAAATAAGCCGCCCTGGCCAGATAAAACCAATAATGTTAACAGTTAAAATGCCGCTTGAATAAAAAGGTCTTCGCCTGGCACCGAAAAACAAATAAACTTACAAACTTTATGTGTAAGTTTAAGTAATATGTTTATTGCTCAATCAGAAGATCACTACAAAAATAATTTAAAATAAAATACAACACTCTAAGATACATATTTTATACATAATTAATTATATATATAAAAATTAAAATATGTTGGGTAGGCAGAATACTATGGCATGTGATAAAATAATAAGATGCACTGGTATAATGAATGTAAAGATCTTTGTAATGCTCAGCTGCAGCAGGGTAATTGCCCTAAAGAGGTTAACCTCACTGAGAATTAGCTGCCCAGTCATGCTGCTTGTGGCTAGTGCCATTAGTAGAAGCTTTCAAGAACTGGAACTGTCAGAGGAATTACTAGCTGGAAGTCAGTAATAAAGGATAAGCCTGAGTTCCTACCTGGAGATGAATATTGAGAGGAAAGGGATAAAGAAATGGTCTTTCTGGAGGAAGAAGAGAACCAATGGTTCACACATGGATCCATGTATGGTTACATCTTGATTATTCGGCACAAACTAACTCCATTGGTTCTTTGCACAGAAGCATTAACTAACATAGAAAAATATCACCCCTATGTACCTATGCACTGAAAAGGTACATAATTGGGCAGCATTAGCTATAGTCAAAAATATTTCTATCCCTACAGTTTGGTTGGTTTGCTGTAGGGAATTCATGAATAAAACTGAGTTTGAATGAATAGGTTTAGGTTTTGTTTTTACTGTGCTTTATAACAACCGCAATTTTAAATAACGACTGGGCTTGCACAGTAGAAGATGGCAATGGGAGTAATGGAAGATGGTTTAGAGCACTGTCTGAACTCCCTGGCTTCAAGTGGGAGTAGTTTATAAGCCATCATGGGTTTGGAGGGGGGAAGCAGCTGGATTCCACTGCATGTCACCAACTCAAGCCTAGAGCAGGATCTGGGTACATCAGCTGGGCCTCCTCTGCTCCTCTGCCTGCAGCTGTGATTGCAGAGAAATAATGTCTGTGGACTGTGACAGGGGCATGTACGGCTGGGTCTCCTCAGCAGGCGGTCCGGCTGAAAGCACGGCTCTTTCTTGCTGCAGCGGCCATGGGTGCTGCGACAACCAAGGGAGGGGTGAGTCAGAGGGGTCACTTCACTGTGGAGCTGCAGAGCCAAGTGGCTTTGAGACCAAGCAGGAAGAGACGGTGCCTCGTGCTGGGCTTGGAAGCCCAGTGCTAGGTGGCGTGAGTGCCCCCTCCAGTCTGGATTCCCTGCCTGGTGTTCCTGCTGATGCTGGTGGAAGCATCCAGAGTGCCCCCTTTGGCAGCTGTCATCCCTCAGTGCTCCAGGGCAGCGTCTCCTTGGATACTGGATGGAGGACAGATGGAAAGAGGGACGAGGGGTGCCAGAGGACCCCCACTGTTCCCAGTCATTAGTTGGGAACAGGTGAGTACCCCAGGCAACTTTAAGTCCAGCATAGAAATTTTTAAATAAATAAATAAAATAAAAATAACTGTATGGCCACTCTGGGATCAGCCCATCCCAGCCAATGGAAGATCACCTGTAGGGTGTTTCCTCTAAGCAGCAATGGTAATGCAGATTTTTTTAAAAAAATTATCTGCTGCCATTTTTTCTTTTGAAAGACATTGGCATCCTCTATAATTTAGCTTTCAAAACAAACATGAGGCTTTGCATATGGACCATGTTCCATTTCAACGGCAAGACACATTTCTCCAACAGTTCTCTGCAAAATGTAAGCTTTTACGCAGCATGCCAACAGCTCCCTACTCTCTTCCAAAGTTCAACCAAAGACACCCCTATTGGACCTACACAAGCATTCACAGAGGGGGAAAATGTTACACTATTTTAGCACTAACTGAAGGTGTTAAGAAAATACCATACTAGCGCAAGGAAATACTGGCATGGAGCAGCATTCATGCAGCAGTTTGCATTACTATAACATTCAAAAAAGGCAATAGCAGTGCTAATTAAATTGGTTTATTCACTAAGACAAATTGATGCTCACACTGGCCTTGCTTCTATTCTTTCAAAAAGAACCAGGCGACTTCTCCGTGCTTAATTAATTGCAACTGCCCTTGAAGATAATGAAGAGACATTATGACAAAATTACTATCAAGTCAGATAGCTGAAGATGCAAAGATTAGTGACATCATACGCTCTGTAAAAACATATGTAAACTAAGCAGAATGTTTTAAAACACACAAATGCACACATGCATGCACAGAATAAGCAATTAAGCCTTTTGTTTCCTTACTCTTTTTCCAGTTAAATGAACAGATCAATATAAGTCTTGCAAGCATACCAAATCCCTCTGAATTTGTGTCTTCCACTTAAATCTCACCAATTAACTTTCTATACTGCCCAATAGCCAAAGCTCTTTGTGGGTATGAAAACAGAGCTAAACCCATACACTATAAAACATCAACATACCATAAAAACTTAAAATAATAATACAAATAGCTGCAACATAAAAACAAAATAAAATCAATAATGTTACTTTCCTTTACATAATGAATGATAAAAACAACTTGCTTTGTAATAATTCAGACTTACTGAATTATAAGGTTAACAAAAATAGTACTATCAGTGAATTACAGTATTTTCTGCATGGACAGCAGAATCAATGTATCAGAATATAATGTATTATACACAGAATATGCTTGCATTTAGCTTGGGAGATTCTGTGCAAAAGCTGCTTCTGTGTATGAAACCCTTTGCTGGATTGGAAGCTACACACTTAAGCAGTGCATGAAAGTGCCTCTGCATAACAAGTGTGCATATAGACCTGACATATCTGACCCAGCTGTCATTTACGGGAAGCCATTTGGAAGGAGCAACCATATACCACTGAAACATACATCACTCTCTCAAGCTGGCTGCACGCACAATATTGTATACAAGCATATCTGTAAAAAAATTACATTCCTCTGTTTAAGATTACTTATTTCTTAATACTGTTTGATCTTTCCAGCAAGTAAAATGTAATATTCAAAATAAGTTAACTGTACCTGCCATGATACACCTCAGTTTTCATGAAGAATCATCAAGACCTATAGAGCAGAAAGCAGGAATGACAAGTGAACCATACTTAAAGAAAATTAGTTTAATGTAGCATTTCACATACACACAATTCTAGTTAGGCTTATGTGGAGAGTAAATCCTTAGTCATTAACCTCTTTTGAAAGGAAGTTGGGCAAGAACTAAAGCGGCGGGGTGGGGAGAGGGCTGGGTATCAGACCAGTGCATTCAGAAGCCTACCTCCATGCATGACCTCCTGTACAGCCAGTGCTTATCTGGTCCCTCCATAAACCAGTCATAGGCCAACTGTGGCTCAAAGACACCTTCTAGCTTCTGGTTCCAGCCTGACTGCAATCAGCTGAGCCAAACAACTGGGACCCACCAGGCTTTACCAGCCCTTACACCCATGCCAGCTCCTCACTGAGTGGCCACAGGGACCCTTTTGCACTGTGTCATCCCCACTGCCTCCAGCTGCCTGCAGGATTAGACCCTGAGGACATCCACCCTGGATGAAGTCATTTGCTTCTGGCCACTTGGGTCCTCACTTTCCTGCTCTGATACCTGACTCCCCAGCTATGGCTTCCTTAGAGCTGTGCTCAGGACTGACAACTGAGTGCCGAAAATAATTCTGCCTATAGTATTTCAGGGTGCTACTGCCACTTCCAAAACGCAAGCTTCTCCTTGCACTGCTGCAGCTATAACAGAATTTAGGAGCAGACAGCCTATTTCCCATAATTAACAGTGTCTCTTAGTGCACTGGTACTTATTCTGTTGTCAGAATGACCTCTGGAAAGCAATTCAGAACACCGCATTATGAACGGCACGTGGTATATCCTACCCTAATCAGTGGGGAGAGCTATTTCCAGTATTCAGTTCTGTACAAACACCCAAATGGCCCCGTTCTATATGCTGTACCACAAGTCCAACATGATCCCAAGGTATCATTTTAGGTGCCATGACTTGTATTAATGTGTCAGCAGTTTTTCTACTAACAGGGACTAAATCTGTGGGTCAAGTGATACTTGCATCATTACCAGGAACAAAAATCTGCAGCTGTAATTTATTAATGAACCACTTTGTGACAGAGCTAACAAGATTTCAGAATTGCACTATGTTATTTTTGTTAATGAGGTAAGCAGATATGACTCAGAACAGAGAAGAATCTGAGTAAGATGCTGGTACATTTCCCTCCTTTTTACTATATCTGCAAGGAGACAATGACTCACCAATGCACTTGCTATGCATGCAGAATAATGGCTAAGTGCCCCAAAACATGATTAAGAAAATCCTGGCTCATGAAACCCATTTTCCATTACAGTAATAGAACCAGCAAGAGAACAAAAAAATTGTAGCCTAATAACAACTATTAGAAAACAGAGCAGAAAGAAGCAGTATGCAGCTACACTGGATAAGTTAAAGCAGCAGAAAATACAAAATAAATATGTCTCTATAATTATAGAATGGACACTCCAGACCCAAGGAGTGGCGCACAGAAAGGAGGAGAGAGGGCAGCAGATTCCTCCTGGGGGTGCATTCAGACAAGGGAGCATGACATCTCACAGCTGTGGTGGAACATCTTTCAAACAATGCAGTAACTCTCCTTCTCTGAATCCCTTTGCCTGCAGAGTCACATTTGTATACCAGAAGAGGAGAGAGGAAGTAGTGATGGCTCACGGTACCCATTTCCCTTCCACTGCTCATCCGGTTTTAGCAAAAGAGAGACCTGTGCCCTCCCATGGGAAGGACTAGTAGCAAGGACTCTGTAGGAAGAAAAAGAGGTATTTTGCACACCCTCCTGGCATTTTCAGGATACTTTACACACTGGGCTTCATAAATGTACAAGCTGAGTAAATTAATATCTATTTTAAGTCAGTCACAATGCGCATAATGCTATTATTGCTTGGGTTATTATCATTTATGATTGTAATAGGGCATGCATCTTCTGCATAAAATTTAAGTCCATTTTAGGATCTAAGAGCCATGGTATCACCACAGTAATCAGGGGAACAAATTCCAAAGACAACAGCTGATACTCAAGCCCCATGCATGCATCGGTGTTTCTTGCTCATCACACACTGCTCCGAAAAGTTCTCCGACTCTCTTGAGAATAGATTTTTGAGGGATGCAAGCACCAGGCCTATGGAGCTGGGGACGGCATCAGAAACCCTAGCCAGGCATTGACCAAATGGCCTCCATTCACACAAACAAGTGTTTGAATTGAAGCCTGCAAATATACATTTTAGTAGCTGTTTCGAACAATTTCTAGAGTTGAATTTATTTCCCCCATATTATTTGTTATTAAATATTTTCTTTTTAGTAGCAAGCTCTGCACACACACTAACTTGGAGTTAAAACTTAGTGATTCCACTTGTGCTTACTTCCATTATACACTTTCCCTTCCCCCACCAACACTTTATTTGCTATGTTTGCTCCTTTTATTCAGCAGACTTTCAGCAGTTCAAAATCACAGCTGGAAAAGTTATAGTCTGCTAAAAATTCATTGATTCTCCAAACTGTTTGCCATTTTAGCTGCAATGCTCCAATTGGCATTTTGGCTGTCCCTTTGGGATTGGCCAAGGATGTTACGTTGCTCTAGCAACCATTCCTAATTATCCTGGGATGCTGGGCAAACAAGATTTCCTCCCCAGGCTCTGTGAAGGTCACCCCTGCACTGTGACGCTTGAGCACAGGTTCTCATTGCAGCAAGCCAGGCGGCTCAGTGCACAGAGCTCTACTGGCATTTTCCTCATGGCACAGAACCCTTCTGAGCTGCACTTAGGACAACTTCCAGAGTACCTTCTTATAAGATTTGATCACTGATGACTATAACTGGTGATTCAGTTTCAAATCTTGTTAAATCCCCCTCCTTTGCAGATCATCAGTCGATCACTGGATACACTGGTTCGCATCACGTCAGAAAAGCACTACTGTGTCAGCTAGGAGGATGTCATTTTGGTTTCTTTCTGGCCAGAATTTGTATCATGAACAGGACTGATGTTTGTGGACAAAGCCTGTACATTCATGAGCTTGTGATGCGAGTGTGAAAAACGCATCCTGTAGAAAAATGCACAAATTAAAATGTACGTTCTTCTCTGAAACATCCAAGGCTACACATCTGGGTGCACACTTAAAAGAATGTGTGTCCAAATGTGCAGTTTTACCAATCCAAAAGCTCACATCAAGGCAGACCAAGCTTCCAGGTGTAAGTCAGAGAACCTTGATGAGTCTGAGCTTTGTGGATTTTCCCATCCCTTCAGTTAACTATCCAAGAAGATTTCAAAAAGAGTTTGGAAAGACAAAAGGGAGAATTATAATTCTGCAGCCAGTGAGCCCAAGAAAAATTTCTAACAGAACATAGCCTAATATTATTCCTTTCTATGAAGACAGATTTCATACTTCAATAGTTCTGCTGAGATGGCATTTTTATGTTCTAACTAGCAAGATTTCTTTTGATACAGTCTCCATATACGCAGAGGATCTTCCTACTTGCTGGATGCATCATTTGACATTAGCCCCCAAAGTAATATACAGAGGCAGTCTGATCCTTTTTGCCTCAATGGTGCAAGCAGGCATGATTTGTATAGCGCAAGCAGGCTCTGGAATTGCTCCTAAGGGGGCTTCTCTGCTTCTGCTCTCACTAGCAACAGCTGTGATGGGGTCAAGAGGAAAGCAAATACCCTAACCCTAATGACCCCAATGACCGAATAAAATAAAGAGAAGGGGGAACAATATAAAAAAGAACTATGCAGAAGAGATGAAGGAATGACAAATGCCTTCAAGGATGAACCTCATGAGGAAGAACCTGCAACACTAAAGAGTGAAGTGAAAGTTGCTCTATAGGCAGTTGAAAGGAATGAAACACCCAAAGTAGACAGGCTACCAATAGAACTATTCCAATCAGCAGAGACTGAACTAGTCCAAATTCTAAGAAGAATATGACAACGAATACGGAAAGTGAGACACAGGTCCAGTTTGGAAACATTCAATATACATTCCAATTCCTAAGAAAGGAGATGCACAAGAGTGCAGCAACCATAGGACCATTGCACTAATTTTTCGTGCAATCAAAGTGATCCTCAAAGTGTTACAATAAAGAATATAAAGCTATATGGAGTGAGAAATGCCCAATGTTTGGGCTGGACTCCAAAAATCCCCCAGAGGTTTCTAGAATCATACAGTTGGAGGAGGGCTAGCAAGCCATCAGTTCCAACTGCCTGCTCGATGCAAGACTCAGTCACCCATCCAGATTTCTATCACAAGTCTTGACTGGCTACTGGAAAGCAACAAAGAAATACAAAAGATGAGTCTATGTTTTACAGACTACAGAAAAGCCTTTGATTCTGTAGATTGTCAGAAGTTCTAGATGGTCCTGAAAGAAATGGGTGTGCCTCAGCACTTGACTGTCCTGATACATATCCTATATTGTGAACAAGAAGCTATGGTTAGGGCAGAATATGGAAAAACAAAATGGTTTCCTACAGGCAAAGGGATCAGACAAAGGTGTATTTGATCTCCCTATCTGCTCTATATGTATTATAATAAGGAAAGATGGATTAGGCTCAGAGGAAGGAGTGAAATAATTTTATTAATTTATTTAAACAATTTGCATGCCGCCCAATTGTGGCATTTAAGATATGCTGATGATACTGTTATCCCTAACAGAAAGCAGCAATAACTTCAAACAACTCCTGATGCAAGTGAAAGAAGTGCAAAAGTGCAACGCTTAATGCTAAGAAAACAAAAATCATGACTACAAAAGAATTACACAATTTTGAAGACAACAATAAGGAAATGAAAAAAAAAATTTTTTTATCTATTAGGATATTTCTAAACCGTCCAATACAAAACGTCTCTGAATGGCTTACAGAAATTGTGAAAGATTTTGCATACCTTGGGTCACTAATTCAAAGGGAGACCACAGACAATAAATTCGAAGAGTAATGAGACTTGGAAGGGCAGCAGTGAAAGAAATGGAAAAGATCAACAAGTGTAAGGACATTTCACTCAAGACTTAGGCCAAGATCATCCACAT